ATTCAGTGATGGTCAATTTTTCCTACCTTCAGACTTTGCACGCGGTTAGCAACTCACACTCATTCTACACGAGAAACACTGTCCCTAGCACGAAATCGTTTCTAACACCATTAGGGGCCCGCGAAGCCGACGCCCGTTTTTCTCTGCACTGCTGCTTTCAGCGTTAGCGACGCAGAACACAAAGGAGTTGTCTCCTTCGACTAGGATTGCACCCGTTCACCTCATCTACTTCCCAGGTCTCATGCTCTCCCCAACTAATGCCATTTACTGCATCAGTTGGCAGTTCCCGCGGCGGAACTAATCTTCAACAGAACAATGCTATACAAAACTTTAGACTTACCTATGTAATTCAACGCCTGATCCAGCCAGTATAACCGACGGGCGAACGGATCGACGGCTAAAGCGGTTGGTCGAATCAATGAGGAGTCGAGAATGACGTCCACCCCTCGATCGTCACTGATGATCGCCATACGATTCAGACTTGGCTTTTTTCCAACGTCACTCCAGAAGATTGTTCTGGAAATGCCTTTCTTGACTTTTTCCTAAGCCACCATGCCCCACGATGCTCAATGCAGAATAGAACCTATGGCCCAAGCAGCACAAAGCATGACATACAGGAGGAAGTATGGGAGAGGAAAGCTAAGCCTGCCCTCAGCATGTGAAAGATGGGTATTGATTTTTGACGAAAATAACCAATCTTCACGAAGATGACATCACAATTTTTTCCTGTTTCAAACCGTCCTTATACCACTGCCCTTACTACTGCTGCAGTCCACTGATCGTTCCTCAAATGCAGCACATACTATGGCTATTGATTACCTGTGAGACGAATCGATTGCTAAAGCGTAAGGCAATACTCCTGGTCCTCGACGATAGACGGTCTTGATGAAACGATTGTCACTGTCGGACATCTGTAATCTTTCTAATTGAGATGGCCGAAAAACTGATGGCAAGGTGCTGTGGGGAACTCCGCCCTTTTCCCAAAGGCGACTTTTGGTACCTGGGAATGCGAATAAATGAACCGGAACGCACGAATATTGAAAACGATTTATCCCATGTGGGAGGACAACTAACATCAATATAACTACTGCCGGTTGAGAATATGCATGTTATATAAGCTTAGAAAAAAAAAACTCGAAGTAAACACTCGAGGCACAGGGATTCAGATGAAGGAAGACTCCTGTGGTGGGCGGAGCTTCCCACAATTTCCAGAGACATGATTTAACGAATTGAGAAGATTACCATCTGATTAATCATAACTCCCACATTGACATTAGAAAAAGCACTCACCATAATAGCATTTCGCGATTTCGCCGTCCAATAAATATTTCCGGAAAACTCGTCCACTGCTATACTGTCAGGATCATATATGGCTATGTCACGTAGAGTCTAGAAAGATGCATTCCGATGACATATCGAATGAATCTTCGACATATGCGATCAACAGAAGGAAGTGCATGTAGATAAGGGTTGTGTAACTGGAGGGAGTTGCTGGTAGTCCACGATTTGGCCCGCGACCGGGTCGCGCGACTGGTCGCGGGCCAAATCGTGGACTATAAAAGCAGCCAATGAGCTAGGCTAGCTTCCCGAAACAGTGGTGAAGTCAGCTCATACAATAAAGTCAGTTTTCATGCCTACTGCAGAGGCTCATAGGGATAGACGTGGTGAACGACTACAAGCGATGACGCACGACACAATGCAACAATGAGCGACATGAGGCGAGTATGAGTGATTATGGGCGATACAAGCGGGTAGCAAGTACTCACCACACTTGTTCCATTCGTGAACGCTCTCCCAACGGCTTCATTATCATCTATCCAGTACACCGAAGAAGTGCTGAACTTCATGTATCATTACCCAATCAATACCGTAAGTCAATCGGAGCTAACCAGTACTACTCACCGCATACTGTAAGCTACAGCGCGACCAGTTGACGTATTGATCGACAAAGTTTGGTAGGAATCTCTGAACGATGTGATTCGGACGACATCGCTCGCCACCGAAATCAGCAATGGGGGAACGGCTGAAACGTCACGACTGGAAAGGAATTTCAAAAAAAAAATGTAGAGTAGCTACCTTTTGACTTCAGTTTACACCCGCGTTTATCGCTCTCCAGCAGGTAAGCACTACCACAAGCGCATTCATAGTTACCGTTACCTTTCTCAATACAAAACTGCGAGCAGTTCGACGACGAGCAGCGATCACCCACTGGAAAAGAAGGAGGAAAATGCGTAGAAAATAGTCGAACTGGTAGAAAACTTACTGATACATCTGGCAGGATTCTTTGGATCGATCACCTTTGGCGGACGACATTCGCAACGATAGGCAAATGGCAGATCAACGCACTGTTCTTCACAGAGATCGAATTTGCATTCGTTAACTCCACACATCGTCTCAGCAAAGTACTTCAGACTAAAAGTAGGTAAGTAAAAATAGTAGTTAGTAAGGATAAAGAAGATGAACCGAAGACAGATTGTATGGCTTGTTCTGGCTGGCAGAGCTTGCTGGACTTTGTTTCACCAGCCTATCGATCCCTTCATTCCACATCTTTCTAACCCACATACACAGCAACGAATAAATAAAATAAGCAACTAAATAAGGTAACGGGTTGAGAAAATCTCGTCGCTGATGTCCAACATGCCACATGGAAATTTTTCACATGCAATTCTTTTTTAGTTTTCCCAATCTCTACACAACACTCCCCGCCCACTTTATCGGACCTTTGACCGGACTAAGTTCTTGCTAGTGATTTCCACTGATTTTAATTTGTCGCTTCTATGTTGCTTTTAATGTGTCTTCATCCGTATTCTAGGCTTTGTAGACTTGAGGAATGCGTCACTCAAAGCGACGCTTTACTGAGGTCTTCCATCCAGCATGACCTTATATATATATNTCTGATCTGTTACAAAAATTCGATCTTTTTTTGCCCAGAGGAGTGAAGATATTATAATTTTTTTAAAGTCCTTACTTTTCACATTCATGGCTCTGATTACAAATCAGCTCCTGAGAAACACATGTAGTACGTTCGCCTTTCACACATGTCACCTCATCTGCAGCACATTCCGATGTACGGGATGAACACATCTAAAAAGTAATTTTTTATAGACTTTTCATAGGTATACAGTCATTGGAAATTCAATAAATTTTACTGTTGTCTGATGTAGGTTCCCTAACCCGGGATAGACCCCCCCAGATGAGGCAGATGAAGAAGCAAGATGACAAGAGAGGGCAGGAAAGGGAATTGGAGGAAGGACAGCAGGAGGAGGAGCAGCATAGGGATTGGAACAAGGGGATAAAACCGGCAGTTACACGGAACTTCGGCCAGCGAGAGCGAGCTGCCTTGTCGCCCACTGGGAAATTATGAAAAAAATTTCAAAAAACACCTCTATTAAGTACTACCTGCGGCTCTTCATCGCTTTTATCCATGCAGTCTGGTATTTCGTTACAGATCCATGCACTTGGAACACATTGACCACTACGACATCGGAAGGACGATTCATCACAGCGATCTGGTCTGGCTGAAAATGGTTACGTGAAAAAATATTCGGTAAATACTTATTACATTTCGAAATAGTTCAGCAGTGCTTCGACCACTTGTTCGATTAAAAGTGGAAAACCAACTGCCTTCTACTGACCGCATTCAGTTCTATTCTCATCACTACCATCTACACAGTCCGCGACACCGTCACATTGATGTATGGTCGACAGACAGGTGCGATAACTCGTTCCAACTGTTCGGCAGTAAAACTCGTCCGAGGTGCACGTTGTTGCCAAGTCTAAAACATGGGGGAACCGTATAATGTGACGTTTTGTACCACCGTTCGTACAACCTATATAAATACGTCAATCAGTGACCGAGATTTCGGTAGGAGGAACGGCAGGGATGAAATGTTATCAGTTTAGGGCGGAGTTGTACAAAAAGGTAGGAATTTGATTTCAAATGAAAGTAGTTGAACAGATGGAATGTTTACATTCTCGGATCACCGGATCGTCATAGCTGTGTCGTACTTTTAGGCTGTGGGTACTGCAATGGGAACGGGGAGTGGGGGAAGGAGTGGGGGG